AATATCTCCTGGAACACAGCAGGTCCTCTGACTTCAGGTTCTTCAATGCTGCAAGACCTCAAAGAAGTGCAGCAAGAGGCTGGCACGGGTGTGCTGGAAGATCAGATGTGCAATGGGATGGGAGTGTGGTACAGGAAGTGGGTTTGGAGTGATGGTGCCAGGTTTCTGCCAGCTGCAGCCCAGGTTTGTCACTGCTTGTTTGGAGCTGCCCACTCCCACTGGAGCCAGTTGCTGTGCCTCTGTGTCCTGCTTTTGGTGGTAAACACAGGGATTGCTGGTGGCTTAGGCTCAAGCTGCTGCCAGCACTTAAGGCTTGCCTTGTCCCATGAAGCTGCACTGAGGCTGCAGCTGTGCCCTACACTCCTGCTATGGAATTTCCTCATTCAGATGCCACCTCCAAATCCAGCTGCTGAGCTTGCTGGGAGCAAAGGGAGGTCTCCAAGGATGTCCTGGAGGAGTTCTCTACCAGGTAAAACACCTCCAGCCCAGTCTGCACAGGCAAAGCAGCTATGTTACCCTGTCAGTGAGTGGTTTGTGCCTTAAAACAACCACACCCGTGACAAGTCAGGGCCTTTAGCAAACAAAGCACTCACCCTCCCACTTTACCTGAATGACACAGCCCTTCCTCAGTTTTATCCATCCCTGTCAGCAAGCTTTGCAGGAGAAGCAGAACCTGCTCTTCAGGGGAGATGTGAGCATGTGTAGGCTGTGCCATCACTTCCAAGCAGCCAAGGTGCCTGATGCCTTCAGGCAATGCCATTTCTTGGAATAAAAGTTTCCTGTAAGGCTCTGCAAAGCCTGAGAAAACACTCTTGGAGAAGGGGCCAGAAAACATCCCAACAGACGCAGCACATTCTGTTCCGGCTGGATCCAACAGACTATTTCAAGTCTTAATTTTTATTTTATTTCCTTGAAATGGGCCTTTTCTTCTATTACAATATTTTCTTCTATTACAAAAAGTCACAAGCTTGGATTTTCACCAAATGCATCCTATGGAAAAACTGGGGGGCTTTCCATTTTTAGAAATAAAATCCCTACTGGAACTGTTGGAATTTCCCACAGCACAGAGGTGCCAGATTTATCCCAGCCTGAGGAAAACTTTGGGAAAAAAGGATTTCCAGGGCAAACACAGAATCCGTCTTGATCTTATCTTCATCTTACAGTTGAGGAAGTTGACAGGGGAAAATGGTTATGTATTTTGCTAGGCCTTAGGTGAAAGAGAAAATAAAAGTGCAGGATGTGGCAGCAGAGTTGGTATGTCCGTTCAGACCTGGCTTGGTGCTGGTGCCGGAAAGCCCCTGGACTAGCAGAACTGGGAGCCTCATCCTCCTGCTCTGAGCACTAGCAGGACCCCAATGCCAAGACCCCGTGTATGTCGACAGTCAGGGCTGTGGTAACAAGCACACGCTGCAGACAGCATGGCCAGGGCACAAGGAGCTGCCTGGGGAGACTTGGGGTCCCTGCTCACCACTCGCTTTGGTGATGCTCCTCAGACACAGCCTGCCCCCAGCTCACCAGTGTAGCTGATGAACTAGTAATCCTGATTAGCAAATTCCACTATCGGATGGCTGCCAAAAAGGGAGGGAATAACTGCTTTTGCCTTCTGGGTAAATAATGAGCTTACTGAGCAGCGAGGACCTGTGGGTCGGAGGTGGGGAGAGCGTTACAAGCCTGAGGACAGTGGTGCTTGGCACAGGCTGACTGGCCAAGAGATGTGCTGGTGGGAGAGGAGGATGGAGCCCCTGGCAAGCCCTGCCTGAATAGTGTGACAAGTAGGCTGGGGCTGCTCTGCGTGCGCTAGGGAAGGCTGATGTAAGCGCAGCTGGGGAATTCCAGGAGCCATCCAGCTCCAGAGCAGCCGGTATTCCCTCCCTTATCCCTCTCTTCCCTCCGCCTCCTGTCGTCAGCGTGTGTGAGGGCGCTTAATAACAGCTGAAAACCCATCCCACGGCTTCATAATCCTGGAATGACCGTCTGCAGCTGTGTTGCTCCGGAGGATGCAATAAGCTGTCGTGAGTGGGAAATACTGCTGGTAATCCTTCCCTGCATGCCCTACTGCCGACCGCAGGAACATGAAGGCTGTTTCTCTCCAGATCCTGCTTGTGCTGAGGACCTTGTGCCTGGTGACCCCGGCTAGAGGTGAGGCACAGCTCCGTTTGTCCCCCTGGGCTCCTCAGAGAACATCACGAGGGGATGGTGATGGGGCAGGGCAAGGTGGCACTGGATTAGGCTGTGGACATCAAAGGGACCTTTGTGGGCAATCTCATAGCAGGATCAGGCTGGGTTTGTTTGGGAAGGGGTCGGGGGAAAGCAATCCTGGCAGCAAGGATGTCCGAGTGGCTCCGTGATGGCTTTTGCCTCTCCTGAGGGCAGATGGGGAGAGTGTCAGAGAGACTTTCTGTTGATCCATCTTAGAGAAAAACCATAATGCACTTTTTCCCCCCTTTTCTGTTGTCCCCTGGGGATGTGCCATGGGGACAGACTACAGCCAGGCCAAGGGTGTCTGTCTGCACGGGCTGCCTGTCCCGAGGGAGCTGGTGCTCCCGGGGCTGTCACCTGCAGTGGGTGTGCAGTGCGTGTGTGCTCGCCCGTGGGAAATGCTACTGTTCCCTGCAGAAAGATCTTTGCGTGCCCTGGGGTGGTGCTGAGTGGGGTCAGAGGACTGTGAGGTGGTGGGCTCACCCCTGCCAGGGCTGAACTCGATGTCATTCCCCCGTGGCACAGATGGTGGTGGTTGCTGCCCAAGGCAGGAGTTCCGCAGGGGGAGCGCCAGGCTGGCAGACAGGCTCGCAGCAGCTCAGGCTAGGCTGGACTTTGCCCAGGACCATGGGAGGGAGCAAAGAGCCCTTAAGATTTGTGCCCTGCTGCCACCAGACAGGAGGAGGACAGCACAGGCAGCTGAGGATGAAGTTTCTCCCTCTCCTCATACCTCTAGGCAGGTTCTCCAGGGCTGGCTGGAGAAATGTGGGCTACGGGGACACCTGGCAGCTTACCCTGCCCTGGGAACACACTGCCTGGCTCTGCTCACCTGTGGCCAAGCATCCATCTCCCCTACAGTGGGGAAATCAGGCTGGCTCTGCAGGAAGGCTAGCAGTGCTCCCTGGCTGGTGTCTTTAGAGGAACTGTGATGAAAAGCAGGTACCAATGGCTCCCAAGGTCCTGGGTGGATAAACTCTCAGATCCCTTTGGCAAAGACTAAGATGCAGCTCAGAGAGGTGGGGTTGTGTGCTCCAGGAGGAGGGGGACCACCAGGGCTTACTTCATGCTCCCTGTGGCGTCCCACTGTCCTTGAAAAGTGTTTTGCAAGCTCCTCCACTCTGGGGAAAAAAAACCCACCAGAAGTTCAGCTGATTGCAAATCTTTTGCATTGATGCCAATAATTGGAGAACCAGTTCAGGATTATCAGAGGAGCAGAGCCTTTGGGAGCAGTCAGGGACTGTTCCCTGCTATGCACATACCTGACTACCCATAGGTACAGTCTGGCCCCCTTGTTGCTGTGCCTGTTTTGTTGAACTGTCCTCCTGAACGTGGAGGACACCAGCAGAATGTCTGGCTAATGAGAGTTAATTGGGAAGTCATTTTCCCCTGAGCAGGGAATTCTTGACCCTAAAGCGCCACAGAAGATATTATTATGTGAACAAACGGTTTTGCTTTCAGTTTACAGAGGCCTAGAAACTGAAATGGGCTTCTGTAGAGGTGCTGGACTGTTTGCTTGGGATTTCTTTGCAGCCATGCATTTCCCCAGTGAATAGATCAAAAGAGCTGAGGGTGCTCCTGCAGCGATGCTCATTCTTGTACCTGGTGTCTGGATCATTCTCAACTGAGCTGCATAAAATTCACCAAATTCATTTGGGAATCTGAGGCAACATTCTGTAGAGATAGCCTGATTGAAACCATATGCCAGTTTCTTTCTTCACAGGAGGCCTCACACAAATCAAGGCTTGTTTTTCTAAATCTTGCCCCCAGGGATGTCAAGAACAAGTTGTCAGGCTGAGTTGTGCAACCTCCAGTCACTTGGCAAGCGCCTGTGACTGGAGGCAGATGCAGGCATGAAGGGGCCCCAGTGGTGTGACTGGCCCTTTGAAGGGGTTAAATGGGATTTTAACTTTTTCACTTTGCAAAATGAAAACCATATTTTTTGCTGGAGACTACAAAGACATGTTTGGTGGGAAACTTCTGGGACATTGAGCTGCTGAGATACCTAGGGGACTGATCATTCACCAAAAGGTTCTTTCTCTGCAACCTTTCTCTGAGCCCAGGTGGCATTCAGAGACCATGTACCAGCAAAGACAGAGGCAGGATACTCACTTAGAGAGGACTTACACAAGAGGAAGAGATAATACTGATCCAAGTAAAGAGAGGCCAAGCATCCTGCCCTCTGGTCTGCATCACCTGCACCAAGAGCCCACTGGTGAGGGTTGCAGCAGGTCTTTTGGGGATGAAGAAATGTGTCTTCTGGGCACCATGCTGAGAGCAGTCCTCCTGTGACCCAATGGGGAGAAGACGCGTAGGCCCAGGGGCTTGCACAAAGGACCTCCAGGCAACACTTGCACATCCTACGAGGCAAGCTGTAACGGTGTCCCAAAAGCCCTGCAATTTTCACAGTGCTTTTTTTGTCGTCAGGTGTTTTTTGGTACCATCACCTGTGTGGGTGCTACAAACACTCTTGGTGTTGGCTTCATTGGGATTTGATTTCATCTCAGTTTAGCATCTTAGTTTCATGGCAAGCTTTGGATTCCTTTTCTCCAGAGAAGAGGGAAAAGAAACAGTGCCAGTTTTTATAGTCCATGATAAAAAGCCAATGTTTAGTATGTCCAAAACTTTCTTTCAGGGCAACCCAAAGCACCTCTGAGGTGTTCAATAGAGTGCCAGAGGTTTACATTGGAGATAGCGGAGAAGCGGATAAGGAGCTACCGCGAGACCGAACTCAGCTGCAGAAAAAAAGCTGTGATGTAAGCATTGTCCCCACCACCCAGCCCTGCCATACAACTCCACTGCTGGTCACACACAAGCCTGGCAGCAAATGCTCTCACTTTGGAGAAAGGGGCAGCCTGGAAACAGAGGGAATGCTGGGGTTTATGTGAAGGGTGGGTGGGGGTTTTCCTCTATCTAAATACCAACAGCTTCCAAGTGAGATCAGGGATAAGTGGATGGGGAAAGGGACTGGTGTACTTGGGTGAACAGGGCAGAGGAAGCACACAGGGAGGGAGCTCGTGTTTCTGTGAAAACAGCTATTTTGTCTGCAGACAGATTCAGACTTGGGAGCTTGTCTGGAGATAAGAAAAGCTCCATTTTACCCCAGAATAATTGTTTTCAGTTTACACTGAAGCTGAGGCACCATTGACACCTCTTTATTGCAGCCCAGGGGGTGGCTCCAAAGTGAACCTGCTGTGCTGACCTTGGCAAGCTTCACATCACTCACTAAATCAGAGGGTTTTAGCTTCACACATGGTTGCCCACAGGCAGCTGGTGCCTGCAGAGGGAAACACTGTGTCCAAGCTCCAGAACAATGCTTTCGAAAGTGAAAAAACTTCTTAGGGGAAAACCTTTCACCCATGAGTCACATTAAGCTGCTCCTCATTCAGGCTGTTCTCGCAGGCACCTGCCCTTCCTGAATTATGTCATCTGTCCAACCTGAGTGTTCACTGTGTGCTTGGGGGAGTCAGAGTTGCTGTCTGCATTTGTCTGCATGCCTTCCCCACCACGCTGATCAACTAAACCAGTGTTTTCTTTATCCAGTAAGTGATCCCTTTTTATTTTCAGACTAATTACTCTGAAGTACAAAGAGATTTGTGCAGATCCAGAGGAAGAGTGGGTGAAGAAGATAGTACAGAAACTGGACCAGAAAAAGTCTGCAGCCTCCCCACTTCCACGTGGTGCCACCTCACCAGAGGAGCCTGGTGGTTTTCAGAAACATGTTGGTGTTACAGTAATGGCTCCATCTCAAGACACTGCTCCAACTAGTTTCTTCCAAGGGACTGGCAAAACAGTTTCAGAGAAAATACATGTTCCTGTTGCCAGGACTGAGGGGTACAGCAAGGCCCCACCAGCCAGGCAGGACACGACCCAGCTCCATGCAGGATCATCCCCTGTGATACACGAAGATGTTGTGCACTCTGAAGTCACTCCAGAAGCAAACAGAGATTCCTTGAATTCTTCTGCATCTTCAAAAGCTGTTGCAGCAGGCATGGACTCCAGCCAGCCCTCCCCATATCCCTCAGCTCTTGTGTATGGCTTTGGCAATGCTGTGGGATCTACAGTAGAACCTGTAGGACACTCTGGAAATGCTACAGCTGATGTTCAAGACGTAACTTCTCCTAACTCAAATTCGGAACCCATGGCCATCGCTAAGGGATCAGATCAACCTATACTTTCTTCAAATGAATCCCTGAACCCTGTAAGTGCCAGAACCAATGCACCAGACACTACTTTCAGCAGTTCTAGATCAGAGCTCCCCTCCATCCTGAACAGTGTGGAGATCACAAGAGTCCCAGCCACACCAATTCCATCAGAGACTACTTCAGTTTCTACTCTAAACTCCACCACTGCTATAGAGAAAGGTGTTTCTGTCCATACCAACAAGGCTGTTAGTTCCTCTGCAGATGTGTTTGGTACTAGAACATTTGATTATTCATCACCTGTAGGAAAGCAAGAGCCTTCAAATAAGCTAGTTTTTACTAGCCAGGCATTCTCAGGCCAAGCCAGAGTGCAGATGAGCACAGACAGGCCAAGCAATCTGCCTCTGCCCAGCTACTTGTCAAGGGCTCAAATGCCCTATGTCATCCCAGCTTCTGTGGTAGGTGGACTGATGGTTTGCAGTGTTGGTCTTGTATGGCTATATCTAAAATTTGGAGTCAAACCAGAAGAAATGTCAAGAGAAATGGTACAGGGCTTGCTCTATCAGAAGGAGGGACATGAAAACAATGTCTACCCAATGGAAGTAATTTGAGTGCTTCACAGCATGGACATTTTAGGCCTAAACTATATGTGTGTTGCTGCAGAAAACCTGTTTATGTTGAACTGCTGACCAGTAGGAAGCAAGCCAGGGAATAAAAATACCAGAGAAAACTGATGGTTTTTGCAGAGCAGAATGTCCAACTATATATCTAATTCATCGCTGACCAATGACAGTGTTTTGTAAATAAGTGAGACCCCTCTTTTCTTCTGGCACTGTTGTGTACAGAGGCTGTGCCTGTTCACCTGCTGTTAGTGGCTCTTTGCCAGAGGTTGGTCACAAGTGAATTTCCAAATTGATGTTGGGAATTATTCTGCATTTCATCATGGCCCAGCCAAGATGCCACTTACCCACACTGTTGGACTTGGGCTCACAGATTTATACTATCTGAAGAGCAGTCTTAACACCAAACTCACATAATTTGCACTTAAACTCTCTGCTGCTTCTTTCTTTGCACTTTGGGTCTCTGTTCTGTGAGACCAAGACTGAAGCTGGTGGCCACGTGGGTGTTGGCTCTCCTTGGGCTGATTAAATTCACTCTCATCATTTACTCTTGCTGGAGACACGAGGGATAGCTCAGCATTTCCAAAAGAGATGACCAAAACTTCATCTGATCAGGCGACTGAAGGTCAGTGCTACAGATCTCACGTTCAGAGAAGCTGGCAACCCACAGTCTATCTCCTCCTTGAAATCAGACCCTTCCTCTCAACAGCTATGGGCATTTCCTCTTGTAAATATAGTTTGAGACCTGGTTATTTGGAAAATCAATGCAATAAAACCCTTCTGCCAGCTGATGCGCTCCGTGCTCAGCTGCATCCAACACCAGGGCAGGATAATGCGGATGAGTCTATGCAAATGGGAGAAAACAAGAAGCCACACAGTAATTTTTGCGAGTCCTGTGATAGCATTGGAGCATTCTTGCTGTTCTCTGCAAGCACAAATCCCCGCAAATACTCTCTTGGAGGAGCTAAAGGCAATTCTGGATTTAGTGATTCAGGAATTACTCCACCATAGCAGAGGAAATGTCCTTTTAGACCCATATTCTTTCTAGAAATAAGCACATTTTCTAATCCACAAAAAAAAAAAAAGACACAAAATGCCTGTTCATGATCCTACACTTCAGCCCCATGTTAGTTTTTCCATTTTGAATAGCATTGATCGCCAGGCTATGAAAGGACTGTAACAGTACCAGGCTTTTTTTTAAACCCAAATTGATTCTGATTTTTACCCTGCTGTACATAAGCCTTATCTTTTATCTGTGGCCAGGTCCTGAAAGCCCTTATTAAACTTTGACTCCAGTATGAATACTGCTGGAGCGTGCAAAGGTCTTCACAATATGATGCTTTGTAAGTAGATACATATCAAGGGTTAGACCCTCCTCTAACCAACCTCAGTGGATCAGATCCCAAAGTATAAATATGCATGTAGGAAAAAGAAAGCAAAAACATAACAAGCAGTATCATAAAAGCAAAAATGATGGGGCAGCTGTAAAGCAGAGGTAGAGGAAAGAGGCCTGTTAGGTCCATCAGATCACACCTTCATGGCATCCAGCCAGCCCTGCAGGTGGAGAGCACAGACTACAACTGTGTTTGTTTTCTGCCATCATTCAACCCTTCATTTCTGCATTTTGTTGACTTGAGAGAGAGGAGCCAGGGATTCATCTTGGGTTTTACAAGTATGGAATGCAAACAGATTAATCACAGGGAGGGATCTGGGATGAAACCCTTCATTGTGCAGCAGCATTCTTGTGCAGCCCAGCTGTGGAACTCTGGCTGGCATTGATTTTCCTGGAGGGTGAACTGGGGGCTGTCAGTGCCACCTCACCAGCTGCCTCACTCGTGCACAGCTGCAATTCCCAAGGCAGTGTACTGTGGCATTATTTTATATGAAACACTAGAAATGTTATTTTTGTAGTTAAGTGTTATAGCCATTTGAATGTATGTAATGTCCTGTCTGAGCTACTTGGACTCGAGACCTTTCTGAGAACATTGCAAAACACTGTGCCTTGGCTATTTTCTTGCTGGTCTTAGATGGTTTGTGCATGTCCATGGGAGCTGGATCACTCTCCAGGCCCTTCAGCAAATGGAGTGAGCACTTGCCTTGGCTTGGAGCAGTGCTGGGGAGATGAATGTGCACCAGTCAGATCATTTGGAATTCTACCATGGTACTTGTAAGGACACTGGTTTCAGCTCCACATCTGGCTCCCACTGTCTTCCAACTGCCTTGATCCCACTGGCACTCATCAGGAGGAGCTGCTCCTTCCAGCCTGGCCCTGCCCTTGTGCTTGCCCTGCTCCCCTCTCCTGTTCCCCAGCTGTTAGCAGGCAGGGTGCTGGCACCCCCATGGGGAGCAGTTGAAACACAGGACAGGGGGCATACCACTGGTCCTCCCTGTGCCATGGGCAGACCATGGTGGCACAAGATGAATGTGATGCAGAAGGATGGAGTCTGTGGGTATCACCAGTTTCTGGGGGTAAAAAATGTCATTTGCTGTAGAGCACAGTGACTGTTACAAGCTCTGGTTCATTTGTGTATCCAGTGTGTGCATGAGGTATATGAGCTGTACCTGTTTTTTAGAAGTAATAAAGTCCTTATGTTAAAAACTTTCATCCTCAGAGGATTCACCCCTGGGCTGAGTTACCAAGCCTGGTCCCTGCAGAGATGCAGAGATGAACATGTATGACTGAGCACCAAGGGGGGCATCCCAGCATCATCAAGAGGCAGCAAAGCCAGTGCAGATGGATGTGGCCAGGCTATTGCTCCTTCTCTTCATTGTTTAAGGGCTTCAGTCTTGCCAAAATTTTGCAGGAAATAAATTTCTTCACAGGGATTTGTATTTCCCAGCAATGTAAGGCAATACAGAAAAAACACTTGGGGTTATGCTTTGTTTAAGCAACGCTATGGCCAAACAGCAACATACAGACAACAAATGTTGTGCTCCCAGTCTGTTCTGTAAGAGAGCAAGAGCACAAGCTAGGATGTCTCACACCCCAGCCAGGGCTTGGGCTGCCCTTGTGTGCTCCTCTCTGGTGCTGGGGAGCAGAGGTGGGAAAAGCAATACAATGCAAGAGTCAGTGCCTGGAGTGGGGAAGGAGCAAGAGGGTCGGGAACGAGCATGTCCCCTGCATCCCAGGAGCTCTTGTCCTGGCTGTGTCCCAGCCCCATGCCCTGCAGGGTAGATGCAGAGGTCAGTGAAAACTTCCTGCAGATGAGCCACCAAGCCAGGAAGGTCATTAGGGGGGATAAGAAACACTGTGAAAACAAAAGCACTTTTCCCCCTTCTCTTTTCCCCCGTGTTGTGGGAGAGGAAGTGGGATGCTGTGCAAACAAGTCAGCCCCAGCAGCGATGAGTCATTTCCGACAGGCAGAGCAGGCGTCAGGGTAGCTGCTCCTCTGGAGCTCTGCTGGAGCTTCTTGATGCCCAGTGCCTGGCCCTGGGTTGCACACACTCACTGGCTTTGCTCCCTGCTGTCTCAGTGTCTGACAGTGCAGGAAAAGACCTCGTGCTAAAGGTGTCCTACAGCACACTTTACCATGCTCCTCCTGGAGGTCCATGGGCTGCCTCAGGTGTAGAATTTGGTCCAGGAGGTAACTATTGCCAAGTATTTTCTGCTCAAGAGGGACAAGGGTTGCATTCTGCACCTAGTGTAAAAGACATATGTCCTACCTTGATGTTTCCTTGCAGCCCACAGGAGATGGGTGGCCCATGCTCGTGGTGTGCCCTACTCGTCCCTTGCTGATCCGTGTCTTTGGTTTCCCACTCCACATCCTCTCCACCATGTCATTAGCCAGCTGTTTTGATTGACCTTATGAGAAAGAGTAGTCACTGGCTGCTCCAAACAGGCTCACTTCCGTGCCTTCACATGCTCAGATCCACCAGATGGCATAGTGGCAGACCTTGAAGGCACTAATTGGCCTTAACTATCCAGACCACCCTCATCTGTGGGTGGACACACCCTCACACCACACCTCCACCATCTGCCCAATCCCAGGAGCCCCACCTAAACTCAGGCTTGAGCCTCTGGTCTCTGCTTCGGGTGTGTTGTGAGTGCTGGTCTGATGCCCTGATTCTGGTCTGGACTCTCAGGCAGACCTTTGACCTATGCTGTAGGTATCTTGTCTCCTGGCTGGCAGAACCCCTTGGTGTTGGAGCCCTGTCTCTGTCCCCATCTCCTGCTGCTGCTGAATGGATTCCCCCAACCCTCCCAAATGGATTCTGTACCTGGTTCCTCACGTTAGTGTGTCTGGGGCCATTGATGGAGCCTCTGGCTCTGTTCCCTGTGCTCAGACCCTGTGGGCTCTCACCTGACTGGTGAGGACGCTGCCTGTGCTGGGGTCACCCTTGGCTCCTGGCTTGTCCCGTCTCACTGCTCTCTGCAGCCTGGACTTGGCAGTGAGACCCCTCTGCCATTATCCAAGCCCTGATTTCTCTCCAGGACAATGCTTGAGAGGCACAGTTACTCCTGTGAAACAGAGACACTTCCGCCTCCACCCTCTCTGGTTTGAGGCTTGGGTTGTGATTTATGACATCTGTCCCTGCTTGGTGCAGTGGTTTTCCTCTCCAGCATTGCGTAAGAGCTCTCGTGCTTGAAGCAGCCTCTGGCCAAGCTGATGTACCACCACTTTCACACTGCTGGCTTAGCAGAAGACAGGATGTCTCTCGGGTGCTTTGGTTCTCTGGTTGCACAGCCACAGTTCCTCTGCATGGCTGTGGTTCTTCCACGCTTTGCATGTGCTTAATCTGCACTTTCATAAGGATTGTGTCCCATTCATGTCACTTCAAGGGCAGTTCTTGTCGTTGAAGTCCCCCTTGGGTAGCACAGGTTGTCAGGACTCTCCAGGGTCATACCTTTTCAGTGATAATCTCGGGTGATAGAGGAAGGCTCATTTCTGAAGCACCCTTGAATTCTGCCAGGTGATCTGCGAGGCCACAAAGCAAATAACTGAAACAAAAAAAATGAGAACAATATAGAAAGGAGTGAGAGGCACCCTCCAAGGAGTGATGTGATGTCAGCCAACTCCATGATTGTCCACTGCAACCATGGCTGTCACAAACACTATTTCATTACAATATTTACAGATCTTAATATATGTTTCTCATCACTTTCTTTGTCTACATGTATTTCTCTGATTACTTGGGTTTTACCCTCATCGAACACTAAAGAGCAAGGAAATTCATAACTTGCTCTAGTGCCTCCTTGGAGTTATCAGGACTATGTCTTAAAAATGAAATCACTCAAAATTGGGCTTGAATTGCTTCCATGTCCTATTTTTTTTTCCTGTTATCACAATTTAGCTTTAAAAGCTTAGCTGAAGCATCTCTCTACTGCTGGCTTAAAAAAGGTCAGGGTTGAAAAAAAGAGGCTGAAGTCCTCACCAAGCATCATTTCCCAAAATTGCTACCCAACAGGGAAGCCTCTCTAGCAGGGAGTCTCCCTGACACCCCAGGTCCATCCTTCACTTTACCCTGAGGCAGTTGATTAACCTCACTGAAGAAAAATGGAAAAATGTCTCCTTTTCAGTGCATTTCAGAAAACTGGCATCACATCCTGTTTTTTATCTTCCTTAGCGAACTGGCTACTTCCAGTTTCTGTTCCAGCTACATCCACCCCTGCCTCTGCTTGGCCATGATGGTGAGGGTTTTCTGCCCACGTGTGTTGAGTTTCTGCTCTCTCCCTGTGCTGTGGGACGAGCTTTGCCAGTGACTCAGTGTAGACAGAACCCTGGGGAAGGGCTCCTGGACACAACCTTCCTGCAGCCTCCGTGTCTCATTACTCTGGGCAGGACTTACTGCACAGGAGGTGTCTTGGCTCATTAGCTTACACTAGTTGGTGGTCCCCAGTGTCCAGCTGTAGGAAGCAGGCTTTGGAAGAGACTCTCATTTTCCTTCCTTTAAAATATTTTTCCAAGCTGTAGGACCTGGCACAGTTGTACCTGGAGTTGCAGTGTGGGCTCTGTTACCAGGAAGGAACAAAAGCATCCCCTTTGGTTTGTGATTGTATCCTGAGTCAACCAGAGCTTTGAAACAGAGCTAGGGAGACCCTTGAGTGAGCACCCCAAAGAAATGTAGAGGGGCTTTACACTTGGAAAGGTGATGGTTTAAAGGAAGTAAAACAAGAATGATTCATATTGTAAATGAAGAAGACTCAAAGTAACTGTGTAGAACAGAATTAAATAGGGAAAACTTATTCAAACTTTCCCACCGCCTCCCTGGGGATATGTTGAGGCACTGGGTGATGCTCAGCCACCTTTCTCCTACCTTGGCAGCCCATCTGCTCTTGCAGCACTGAGTGGACAGTGACTGTGTGGTTTGGTTTTCAAGCACAACTGGATGTGCTCAGTCACCCACTGATTCCCCATTTCCCAGCATGGAGCTTGTTCTGCCCAGCTCCTTCCCCCCATCACTGGCACTATTGGCAAAGGATGCACTTGAGGTGTGCCCTGAGTTTCCCTCCTCCTCCTCTTGCAGAATCACCAGGATGCTGTTTATTTTTTAGGTAAACAAGCAAATTTTCCAGAGTCCATTCAAATGAAATGGAAACTTGGACCAGCAGTGGGGCTTTCCAGAACTCATTAGTTAATGTCTGCACATCAGTCAGTCCCTTTCCAAAAAGTAAAAGAATAAACATCAAAGGTTCTCCAGGGAGTTGAGAATCATCTGGCTTCAACAGTCATGGCTTGAAAAACCAAGAAAGGGGAAGCAGAGCATCCCAGGCCAGATTTCCTGCCAGATAAGCAAGCACAGCTCTGCAGAAGCTTCTCAAGGTCCTCTCCATCCTGACCCTGCTGCTGGATGCCTCTGTACTCATTCTGCCACCAGCACTATGTGCTGCCCTGGCTGCCCACCCAAAGCATTCCCCATAGCTGGGGAGTGGTTGGCCCTAGGCCACAGGGAGACGTGCCATGGATTTGCAGCAGGACATGCCTATCCTACCCCAGAATCCTTCTGTATCGATCAGGGTCCAGCCCTGGGATGGTGGCTTTGCCCCAGGCATGGTTAGGGCAGGCTGTGCACTCCCTTGTTCCGTGGCTGCAGGGGAGCCTGCACTCCCCCAGCTTGAGCACACCTGCCATGGTATGACACCATTGTGCCATCTGTGCTTGGTGGCCCTGCTCCTGTGCACACCACAGGCAAGACAAAAATACATCAGGAACAGCAATATGGCCCATGTTCCCAGCTTGGCATTGCCAGTTTGGCTGCAGAATGTTGTGGTCCCCAAAAGGCAACTTGCTGGGACAGCCTCCTGGGGAGGCTACTCTGATCCCAGCAGCCATAGCCCAGGTTTGAGGAGAGGCTCCTGGAGAGATGTTGG